CCCCAAAACCCCAAAACCCCAAAACCCCACTTAAGATCCGTAAATATAAAGAGCCAATTAAAAGAATCACATTTATTACCAACTAGCGTTTAGTATTAAAAATGTCCGGGAAACAAAGCGCGATCAAAAATATGAAAAGTGAGCACAGAGAGAAAGAAATACTTGGGAACAATAGAAATGACAGCGAGGAGAGCTCCTCAGCAAATATCAAGCCTCGTGATTCTAAAAGAGATTACTATGAGAAGGAGCAAAAAGAGAGGGATTCCAGATCTCCAAGTGAGTCTCTCAATGATAGGCCTGAATTCGATGTTCTCTTGCTTATATCTAAAGCTTTCCATGAATTCATTGATAGAGATTACCTGGATGATTTAAAGAAGAAATATCACTTAGATGGCATTCAGATTGACAAAACATTAACTCTTCCGGATATCCAAGGGGATATCTGAAGGATCACGAGTCCTTCGATCGAAGATAAGGTAGAAGCAGCAGATAGCATCATTAGGACCATTGTCAAGAGCAATGACAAGAATAAAATAAATCCTGAAAAGTACAGAGATATCCCAGGTTAGTCAATTCAGCTCATTTTGTAGGCTATAACCCCAGAAATACAGTCATGATCCTAATTCCTGAAGGTATGGTCGCTATCGTTATTGGCAAGAACGGGAAAAGAATAAAGTCGCTCTCAAAGAATACCAATACTAAGATTGTAGTGAGCCAGCCTATCGTTGGGTTCACTCAACGATCGGTCACTATCAAAGGGTATTACAAAGAAATATCTGATTCGATCTTTGAGATCCATCGAATCATGGAAGATAAAGCTCATCTAGTATCCCAATATGAATTTGAGCCAGATATAATCGATCTTAATAAGATTGAGCTAGAAGCAAAACTGGTGTTTCATCACAAAGTTACCAATTTCTTCAAAGACAAAGGGATCCGTAATGTCTGTTACAAGAACAAAGTTGACTTTACTGCCAGAGCACCTGTAGCCAATGACCAAGTAATCGTAAAGAATGAAAGGGTTCTCATTATGACTGGGCTAATCCGAAATGTTGAAAAATGTATCCACTGGATCATGGAGAAAGCACATGAATACAAGTATGCCAAAGCCAAGATTCTTGTCCCAGGAAACCTTGTTAGTAAGCTAATAGGCTCAAGTAAGTCTCTATTGATTTAGAACAGTATAATAATGCTAATAATGTAGAAGGATGACTTATTCGAGAAATTTCTTCCAAATCTGGTGGAGCACATGTAAGCGTACTTTCGGATAAGAAAATGGAGAGAATATCCTCAGAGATCCTTGTTGAAGTGACTGGAGAATGTAACCCAATGAAGAATGCAACTTTGATGGTTTTAGAACAAATCGAGCTGTTCAAGAGAGGTGGACCGGTATTGCCCCATTTATAATATTATAGGTCCTTCAAAGTGGTAGAGTCATTAACAAGAACATGGTAGCACAATTTGAAAATTCAGTTTCTGCAAATACATCAAGGATGAAGAAAATCATTGAACAAAATCATCAAGATTATGGTTCACAGAACGACAATAAAAGAAGAAGGAAAACAAAAGAAAGCAGGAATGACCATAACAGAAACAACAAAAGAAAGAACAGAGGCTGGGGTGATGACTCCCAAAGAAGCGAAAAATCCGATAAAAACTCCCAACCCTCATCTACCCAAAACCACTCTAAATTCCCTCGGGGAGTAAAAAGACAAAAACTACACGAAACTCCTCCTCCGGCCTCTCCTAAACCCACTCACCGCTTAGCTTCTCCTCTTCCCACCTCTTCACCTCCAAAACTCTCTTCAAATTCCCCTTTGAATTCCCAAAAAGTGCTTTCACCGACTTCAAAAGCAGCTTCTTGCAAAATCGAGCCTGAAACCGCGCCTTCAAGTGCTCAGCCGTCAATTCAGGCCAGCTTGAAGCTGGCCCTTCTGAATCCGCCTGGCCTAGACTCTTTGAAGGAACAGCTTCAGTTTACAGAAGGGAAAGTAGCCACTGCTGATAGCGAAGTTAAAACTTTAGAGATAAGCGGAGAACCCCTCCAAATCAAGAGTACCATCGACCAAGTCATCGACCAGATTAATAACGAAAAGACCGAAGGGAAAGGAATCCTCATTTGGATCGGGAGAGGAGAAGCCACATCTGAGCATGTTGTCAAGCAACTTAATAGTAAGAATTATTAATTCAGTTATTGAAAATAAGTATGGGGTTTTGGGGTTTTGGGGTTTTGGGG